AAAAGCATAAAATTCAGACATTTTGTAGTTTAGAATTAGTCATTACAAAATTACTTTTATTTAAAATAATACGGTCTTGAATTTTAATATTATTGCATTAATGCAACGTCATCACTTGATTTTTTTTTATGCAATMATGTAGTATGTAAATATCTACTGAAAACATATATTATGTTTATAAATATATGATGAATGCATTAACTATTTATTCTTGTTTCTCATTATGTTTTGTTTTGTTTAAAATACATTTTACTGGCCAGTACGCAAATTGTAATACCTAGTTGTAATTTTCCAATGTATTACAATGACACAATATGTATGACTCATTCGGCAATGAATCTAATATCTAGTAACAAACTACCTATATAACAACTTATGATTACGTTTCGTAATTTTAAACAACGATTAAATACACATCGTAAAGTCCTTACAAGTTAATTAAATTCAATAAGTCAATAATTTCAATTTAATGTACACCTAATGTTTTTCAAAATAAATTATTTGTATAATTATAAGTTACCTACATAATTTTCAAAAAATGTTGCCGTTTTGGTTGTTCAYAGGACATTTGGAATCTTTTTTTATAAGATAATTTTCACATTCCCTTCAAGGTTCTTATTCATATAGTTGTTACAATAATGGTTCAGAATTATTAAAGATACGTTGGAACGATTTTTTTTATTAACATTTAAAGTACATATCGATAAAATTATCAAAATCACGAAAATTTGTTTGTAGTTAAAAATATATAAAATGTCCGTCAATTAGAATTGAAAATATACACAAGATTTTTCATAAGTAGTTTGTTCTGCAACCAAAAAATGTATAAAACGGTTTTGTTTCACAGATTTTTAAGATCAAAATTAAATATCAATCTAGGTATTTTAATGAAAAATAACAATTTTAGTTATTTTGTTGTGATTTAAAAATATAATTCGTGGGTATACTAATACTTGTGTATAGATRCTTACTTATAACGATCGTCGTCTTTTGGATTATTTTTGAATTTCAGCTCATTTCTAACGATTGACGAATAACAACAATTAACAATTGATTTTGAAATTTGTGAGTTAAGTCCATGGTTAATTTTAAAAGTGTAAAACCATTTGTCTGTATCAAGGATTACGCTAGTTAACGGCAATGTTGAAAAGCACTTTGGAGAATTGCTTTTTTTAATTAAATTTTTAATTGTCTTGTCGTAAGCACTTATGTTGGGTATTCGACAATTTTCATTCCATACAACATACCCTTCTTTCACGTTATTATCAATTTGTTGAGGTATTTTTGTGTCTATAAAAATAACATAMATTAAATTATCAAAATATTAAGTAGTAATCGATATAAATTTTTTTTTACCAAATGCCTAAAATATCAATGATAATTTAAAAATATATATATATATTATTTATGTATTCTATTTATAAAAAGCGGGTAAGTCGTGGATGTCGCTCWGCTGTATAGTAGCTAGGTTACAAGTGGGTTACTGTAATGGATGGAATTAAATTTGAATCCAATGATATTATTATATCATTGTATACGAAAAACGATTCTGAACGAAGACAGTTTATCTGTCTAGGATATATTATAGATTATTAAACATTTTCAAATCTTAGATTTAAAAAGAAAAATTTT